CACGGGCTTGGGCAGTGGATGAGGATGCTCTCAGCCGAATTGCTAAATCTGGGCGATTTTTTCCCATGCTGCTCATTGTTAGAAAGTTTATGGGGAGTTTTTCGCCTCCACGCTGGCCAGACATGAGCCAGGCATTACCTGGCAGCCTGCTGCTGTCAGCCCTACGCAAAGTCTGGGCTACTAAGTCTCAGAAAGCGGCTGGACAGATGCTCAGGCAAGGGCCATCCTAACACGGAGATGTAACTTGCAGCCAGCTCAGGGCAAGGACAGAGCACCTGCCTGGAAAAGACAGAAGCATATCTAAGACTGTCATCCTCCCACCCACAACAAGCAAATCCTTTATTGTCTTGCAGAATTAATCTTTGCTATAAAAGCAGAGCTCTGCACCACCTAATTCATGCACCTTCCACCTGATGCTGGGCTGCCCAACACAGTGCTTATTTTAGAAACATCCCCACAACCCTCATAATAGCAGGTAAATCATTAGAGATGAAGCAACCTGACAAACTGGCAGTGGGAATTTCAAAGAGTACAAAAACTATTAAAGAGACTTTGAGTCAGCTATGGAATAGTAAAATGCTCTGTTACAAAAGCAGTCAAAACTGAAAGGACCAAAAAAAGGGAGGAGAGGGTAAGGAAGAGCATATATACAATTGTGAAAGGAGACTACAATCACAGTCTTAAGTGAATATTCAGCGTAATTTTTTCCAAAAGGAAAGTCAGTTCCTATATCAGAACAGGAATGTATTAATGCCAGCTGTAACCTTTTCCCACTCTAGATATATAAAATGCTGCAATATGAATGTTAATACAATTAATGCATATTACAACTGAAGATTATATAAATAGAGTTGGCATAATCTGCCAGCAATATATCTTAAAATATATGTGGGAAACGGACATGGCAAACTGCTGGGTTAGCTCAGAAAGAACAGAGCTTAGTTGAAAGGAGTGCAGAATATACACCTTACAATCCTTCTCACCTTGATTCTACAAAAATAGAACATGTCCAAGTTCAACAAGAAGAAAGAACGTAAAAAAGTGTTGGAGCACAGATTAATCTACCCTGAATTTGCTGCTCCTCGGCTGTACTCTGGCCTTATGCATCACAGCACAAAGCAACTCGCGCCGTGCCAAGATCAGTAGGAGGAGGTGTAGGAGGCAAGGCCTGTTTGAAGGTAAGAGCAAACAGGAGGCCAAAGTCCAGCATTACAATTTCAATGAGTATGAATGAAACACCCAAAAATATTACACAAAGATGGTAAAAGTACTTTTCCTTCTAATTCCTGACTTCAAGCTAAAAGGAGAAATAGAAAAAGAACAGCTGGGCTTTTCAGAAAATGCTTTGTCTGTGTCACTGAAATAATCTACAAGGAGCCTGTTTAATCTGGATGGACCATGAGGCCTTCAGCAGCGAGTTATGAAACTACGTGCTCAGTGGCCTCTTTCTAGAGCCTCTGGACTCAGGGCTGCAGAAAGGTGGTGAGGCTGGGGGAGAAAAATGCTCAGGAGGACCACATTTTCAAGTGATATCTCTTTTAGACTTCCTTTCTTCAGAGGTCATGCTTTGAGATGACCCTTGGCTCCACCTTATTTTCAGGGTGCTGGTTGCCTCCTGACTCAGCTGGGATTCTGGTATGCACCAGTGCAAAGGCAGGAGGCTGGAACCTCCCACTAAAACGTAGCTGTAAGAATTCATCCCAGAACCCACATTTCCAAACCACGTGAGGTGACTCAAAGAATGAAGCAAAGGCAGAAGCAAGCACTTCAGCTCAAAGTATTTGTTCCTCTATGCTAAACACTAGGCAGCTGTGCATCTCCAAAGACAGTATACAAGAATTTAGCTGTACTGCAGAAGATTTTGGGAAGTCACGTGCTTTCTTCTCTTTTTTTAAAAAAGTTCCATGAAAAAAACCAAAAGTTAAATGTCCAAGGTGAGTAACAGTGTGAGTTCAAGTTGTGCTACATCCTCATTTCATTTTAAAACCAGTATAGTTGCTTACTGCCTCGGAATAAGTATCTCTAATTTTCCTGCCGAAGCATCTTGGGATGGTGGCTCTGTCTTCCAGATCAAAAAAGCCAAACCACCAGTGAACATATTGCTTGTAAGCAAGGTGACTCAGCTGGTTGTTGATATTGCCATCTGCCACGTCCAGAAAGGGGTCTTTGTAGAGACGGGCTTTCTTCAGGGTGTGACTGGACAGCACCAGCTGCTGAAGCCAACAGGAGGTTGTGATGCACTGCCCTTTTTTCCTTTGGCAGCAGAGCTCCTCATGCTACTTCTGTGTTGGCTGGCATTTGCTACAGCAGCAGCACTTTAGGCAGTCTGGGGAAGAGGAACCTTGCCTAAGAGGTTGCCCCAGCTCGGATTCTTCATTATCATGGCTCTCGTTGGACTCACTGATGCCTATCGGCTTGGATTCTTCTTTGTCATGGCTCTCATTGGACTCGCTGGGTCAGCAGCTTCCAGCATCACAGAATTTCATAGGGTGGCTCTGCAATGACAATACCCAACGTAGAGAAGAAAACAGCATTTGCTGCTTCATCCAACTGCAGAGAGAATTTACAACAGTGATCCTCACCATGGGGTTTTTCATTTGACACAGCACAATAGGGATAATGATGATAGATCAGCAGATCCGGAGGAGGATTGTCTTTTTGTGTTGCCAACGCCCACCCTAGTGAAATCCAATCGACACCTCACAAGTTGTTTCAACACCAACGCGCTCCCGCTGGTACATACCCACCACAGGAAAGCAGCAATTTTTAGCTGACTCCAGAAAGTACATCCTCTGGTCACAAGACCTATTAACTTGAAGCGGACAATAGGAATCTAATTTTAGCCCCTCAGAATTTAATTTGGAAATATGGAGGGGCAGGGGTGGTGGAAACCCAAATCAGTTGGGAATTACATTCCTCAGTTCTCCCTTCTGACGGATGGATCCCAAAGGTTAAAGTGTCTGTCTTTACCTCAACAATGCTGCCTTGAGCATGCTGCAAGCTTGTTTTCAGAGGCTTCTTTATCGAGGCAACATGTGGCTCATCAACATAGGACACATCATCACTTGTGCAGCAGAAGAAATGAGCGTTGTCAGCTGAAGTAGTTACCTGGAGAACTGGGGACAAACGCAGCATAGATCTGACCTCAGGGCTTGGGTTCTGCAGTCTGTATTCCAGTAACAACCACCTGCAAGTGCACGTTGCGAAGGCCCGTTTCTCTAGTATCCAGGATAGCAAGGACGTGGGGAGCTGCGGGGGCAGAGGGAACAGGAAGAGATGGTATGGAACTAACTGTAGCAGTGTGGTTGTGCAGGGCCTTTAGGTACTTCCCTATTCACTCTTCTTTAAAAATACGTGTCTAAAATGCTGGGAATTAGTAGAGGCAGCCTAGAGAAATAACCGTTAATGTCTTGAAAAAGAGGAAATGGCAACTGAAGCTGGCAGGGAAGAGGCTTTGAGCAACGCCCTCTTCATGGACAACCCTTTCATGACATCCTTCTGCGGTTTTGAAGGATCACTTTTCCCTGCAGGTTTCCCTGATAGAGCTGGTGTGACTGCCATAGCAAGGTTGGGCGTAGAGCCCTCTGCACTCATGCAGTGCATGCCATGCGCAGCTCCATGGAAGCTTCCTGGATCAGCTGCGTTTTTGTATCCATAGAGCAGCAATTTACATTCTTGACCCGTCTCGGATTCAGCACAGTCTCATACTTTGTCCTGTTGTAAATTTTGTAGAATGGTGATTTGCTGCAGCTGGAGCAATTACCTACACAAATATCAATTAAAATGGCACTCACAACCTCCACGTGAAAAAAAAAGCAAATAGTGATTCCACTTTCTTAATGGGACTGTTATCTCCAGAACTGGTTTTATTAACACAAAAAATAAATCTCTCACCAAACCAAAATAGGAGATCATGGCCCCAGTGTTTTTGAGTTCAATGTTGTCAAATTTTCTGCTCTTAAAGAAAGCAGAAAAGAATAACTAGGAGACAAGATCTGTTACCATTCATTCAATTGAATGGCTTTTCTCTTTTTGTTTCTTCACAATATACCTTTGTCTCTTTACAATTCAATCAAACCCAAAATTTCATATACCATCTCAGACACTTTGTAGGGCAGAATAAACCACTTGAGAGGGAAACAGTGGTGACATATGGGGTTCATGACAACCTCATGTCATGATGATACCTGGATTGTTAAACAACAATCCTGCCTCTCTCCCAGCCCCACCATTTCATCCTCAGCTTTGCTCTCCTATGCTGCTCAGTTCAGTTTAGATCTACCCATCTGACAGGACTTCCATCCCAAAACGATGGACAAGAGAGAGGTGAGTGGTATATGATAGACATGGGGCTAAGGACAAGCTTTCTTCTCCCTCTACAAGGAAAAAGAATTGCATTTACTGTGCAGAAGACAAAGACATCAAACCACATTCCATAGACTTTGAAAAGGGTTCTCTGCTCCTTCCCATGTGGTAGCTTGTAGTACCTTGCATATCTGCAAAAGAGTAAATGAAGATCTGTGCACCTTCCCTGGGGGATACAATGCCATGAGGCTGCAGAACACAAAAAGAGGCATAGTTTCTTCTCCCTTCTTCTTCCAGCACTTTCAGCCTTCTGAAATGAAGGCGCTGATGCCAGCTTGATGAACAGTATCTTGCCCAGCATCTGACCTGGCAGTCTAAACTGAATTAACACATGTATAGAGATTTAGAGAAATTAAAAATCCAACTAATGTCCAACGAGTGTTTCGCTGTCTCAATTCAAATTGAAACCTGAAGCTGCCAAAAGAAGTTCGATCACAGGTAAAGCAGATAGAAAACCCCAGCAAGGATATGTGAGGAGCTGGCAACGGCAAGAGCACTCGTGCTCTGAAGGCTTTGATATCACGTTATCCAAGACCAACTCTGAACTCCTGAACACACTTCAGCATGCTGGATATCAGCCACTTTCCATTCTTTGATCAGTAAAGAGTGGCAAGAATCACGTGGGCCTTTACTAACTTCCAGTTTCTTATTCTATCAAGAACATGACCCTCCTGATGCACAGCTCACATCAGCTTATGGATCAATAAACATCCACAGAGCATGGAACAAAGAGGTCTTTTTAAATCTGACAATGAAAAGCTGGCAGTACAGGCAAATCATTACATTAAATTGTAAGACATACTAAATACACAATGGTACTAATAATATCCAGCCTCTGATAACATCCATATGTCTTCTGCCTCAGACACACTATTAGGACTTGAAGTGCTGTATCGTTTGTTCTTGACTGGTTTACCTGAGTGATCTCTAAGTCCTGTTCTTCTTCATTTAGATAAATAATTTGAATGGGAATTTGCTTATCTGAAGGCACAGAAGGTCAGTTCCAGGGGTGGCAGATACAGATCACTCTGTCATTGCTAATCAAAATTTGTTTATAGTTGGTTGCCTGGTCAAGTACCAAATGAGTAAACTGTTTAAGAGTGTCTGTCTGGCATAAATGCCATCAGCTCAGCCCTCTGCTTTCTAGTGTCTCCAGGTGCTCATTCAGATGATAGAGACCTCTAAAGAAAAATACACTTTCCTCCTTTTCTTTCTCTTTGGGTTCAGTCCCTGTTGCTCTGTTTTACCATCTTGACGCTAACAAACCAGCCCAGAGCAAGCTCTTACTTGATTCCACTCTCTCCTGCACATCCTACTGCAAGCTGAGTCTGGCAGACTTTCCGAGTTCCCTAGATCATGCGATCATTTGCTTCCGGTTCACTGCGATCTGATTTGTCTTCTCTGAAGGCAGTGAGTCACTCAGAAAAACACTTCGTAATGTGTTCTGCATTCTTCTTGCCTGCACAGACACGAAATGCCCTTTTTTCCTGTGCTCAACAGTTCCACAGTCTGTGGCCAAGGCATGTTTTACTGGCCAGCTCTTAGCCTCTGAAGCCTGCAGGTCAGTAAGGTTTTATTTGAAAGTTTTCCTAACTCTCTCCAGGATCAGAGGTTTTCTCTAGCCCTCAGGGTAGAGGTTATTTCACATCTGCCCTTGATGGCATAGAAGCCTTCTCCTCTCTAACCACTTTGTGCTCAGAGCTGACCTGTTGAGAGCTTTCTTGATCGCTGGCTGAAGCTTTTCTCCCTCGCACCTCAAGCAGTTCTTTCCTTTTAGAAGGCTAAAGCCTGTTTCCATTTAAGTCTATCACAAAATTCCCTTTGGAACTGAGATGAAATCAATAGGGCTCCATGCAAACAGAGGTTAGAAGCTGCCCAGAGTAGCTTTCCTGACTTCTAGGACAGCTAGACTGCAGGGGAAGCAGCTTTCCATACTTACCCTATTTCTTATGCTCTTTTCCAAAATGTTCTTCTTCTACTGGTCTTTGTTAGCTTTGGGCTGTATGGACCCCTGAAATGATAGTATTTTACATTCTTGTGACATGTCACTGGTGTCAAAAAGGTTTTCTTGAAACATATTAATTGTAGGATCATTTCTAGCTCTCTTCCCCTTACTCACTTGGGTAGTTCACTGAAATCAGCAGCTCTGTTTATACAAGTTGGCACACACTAGCTAAACAGCGTGGCAGAGTTCATGCATGTCCTTTGTTTTAAATAGTATTATGCTCAACTTATTCACTGCTCTTCAACTTTCACTGTCGTTGCTTTTTAAATTGCTGCCCTAAACAACTCTGCTCCTCTTTTTTAATTTTGGAGACATTAGAGAATCATATTGCCAGGTCAGAGGGAATACCTATTTGTTTGCACAGCTCCAGCACAATGCAGCTTGGCATACGCTGGCAGCTCCTAGACAGTTATTGCACTCACATTAGCATCACAAATGTATGAAAACACATAATGTACTAATAATCATGCCATGAGTACAAAAAAGTGTTGTTACACAAGAGTTTTGACCTAGATCTGAAGGACAACTTTAGTTTTAAACATACTGATAAGCATTTGATAAATGCTTTGGGTAACTATTTAGAACTAGAGTCACGTCAAGATTTTGTGTCAAAACTTCTCATAAATTTGCTATATGCACACAGAATCAAAAGCTCTAATTTTCTTTTGAATAAATCTTGATTCAGTGAACTGTGGGGTTACCCAGATGGAAGAAAAACACTTTTCTTATTTTATTTGTGTTAATTGCCTTGGGGAACTCTGAAGTTTAGGTAGTTACAAGCCTCAGTTGCCATATGGTGGAATCTGCCCAAACTATTCTCTCTGTTAGATCCTAGAATACTTGTTGGAAATTTCTAGGCCTTTCGACACAGAAATAAAATCTCCTACAATACAAGCATGCTCATTTGGAAGATGACCATGATGATACTTCTATACAACTGCAGTAACTGCAGGTTAAGGACATGACTACAAGAGTGAAGAAGGAGAATGAAAAGTCTTGTCATTCCAAGTCATCACTCACCGCATCTCATCACATCTTTACTTCAACTCAGAAAACATGCTACTTGCTTCATATAACACTTTTTACCTGAAGTGGAATCCAGGCTTTTATTTTTTTTTCCACAGCAGTGGAAACCATACTTCAGACTGCAGTCGTAAAACCAGCTGTCCATGTTAACAGTCCCAGTTAACCTCAATGGCAATGATTCCTCCCTAGAAGCAGACACAGTAAGCTTAGGGACTAGTGCTGGGATTGCTGCCTGTGCTAAACTGCTGTTGAAGTCAGTGGAGACTTGAGGGACACACCTCTATAGACATGCTAAACCATAAGTAATATTCGCCAATCGAGCAGTCTTCCATGGAAGTGACTTAGTTACATGACCTAGAAGCTACCGTTCATTCAAGCCTGTCCTGTCTCCTATTTCTCTTCATCTTAGTAGCACAAGTGTGGATGCAGCTGATATACTGTGACCATTGTTTTGTTGCTTTAAATTATGTAGAGCCTCAAACCAAAAGCCTGAGTGCAAGCCCAAATTTTGTAGGCATCCAGTCCAAATGTTTCATCTTGAATGCACTGTGCCAGGCTGAGAATCAATAAACGTGGCTCAGCTGATGACTCTGGGCAGGACACTTTGTCTCTACTTCTATTCTACCCGTCTGTTAATACTGATTTTCTAGAGGTATGGCTGGATACTGCATTGAGGGCGTTTGGCTCAATACCCTAAAGAAGAGAGTGAAAATTTAATAGCAAAAATAAGTGCTTTTTGACTCTGAATATAAGCTGCCATTTGTGTCAGTCTGACTTTTGGATGATTCCCCAGCAACATAATTTAGGATCTGCTTGAGTAGAATCAAAAGATAATGAGTGACAGCCTTGTACAGGACCTATTTAAATGCACTGTGCTTTGTAAAAGGGCCTCTACATGTTACAATATTAACCAAATAACATCATCTCCAACAACATGGGTCCCATCCTGTGAGATGTTAAGAACATTAAATTCTTGAATGTTGAGGTTACTTTGCTTCTCACACAATCAGTTTCTAAATCCAGAAGAATTCCATTATATGGCACGCAGCAAAACATGCAGGAAGAGAGTCGAGAAAATTCTTTAACACTGAGCAAGAAAAAAAAGTGATATCACAGATCTTTACTGCCACCTCAGAAAAATTATCTTTTACTTCCTGAAGGGTATCTCCCAGACAGAAAATTGGACCGAGCAGGGAAGTTACCTTGCTGTATGTGCAGGAAGTATTTAGATTTGGTGGAATATTTAGTCTGTGAAGAACACATGCAATTGTTTAAATTTAAAACCAAGCTGGACCAGCTACAGATACAGGTAAGGGACTTTGCACTTACCAGAACTTGTGTTAAATGTGCTCAGTTTGTAAGTGTATGAGCTTTTGGGTTTGTAGCTATCAGATCTATATATCCCTAACTGGGACCTGGGAATCGAGATGATTTCTTTACTCTTTGGATATTATCACCAGCAAAATTTTACCTGTGTAAACTAAACACTTTCACCTTATAATTCGAATCACGTCTCTCATGCTATATTTTAGTGGTCTTACCCTAACATAAACCAGTATATCTGAATGCAAAATTCTGTTGCCCAGGGCATGAGAAGAATAGAGTTATGCTGGGAGGCTCAGTTCCCAAGCTGTCTTTATTTCTTTTGGTTCCTGAAGGATTAATAGGGCTAAGGAGTTATAGAAACTTGACATTTGTCACTCAGGCACATGCAGTCCTGAATGCGTAGCCTTTTTGAGTAAAGAAGGTGCCAATTCATACAGTCTTTTTTACAGAGCACAGCTACTCATTCTCCAGGAAATATTGAGGAATGTTTGCACTTACATGGTGTAATTAAATTTTGGGAAGTGAATGTTGTTCTTTATTAGCACAGTGAAGTCTTCAGAACTCCTCAGAAGAGTAGGCCTAAAAAAGAAACATCAAATTAACTCTTTTTACTTAAATACATCAATTAATGTTATGCTACTTTACTATTACCTGGAAAGCTGTCAGTAGGAGGAAGATGTTGCTAAGAATAACAGATTGAAATGCATGGAGTTAGGCGGCTCAGGGGATCAAGAAAGATATAGGTGGTTTTCTTAGTTTTAGGTATAAATTGTTCTCTCTCTATTGCACTTGCTCGTGTGGGCCAAGCCTAACTGGAGTCTCTACATGCAGCTGAAATATAATCTCAGGAGACTTCTCATATAAACTTGCCTATAGAATAGTAGTAAGAAATTACACCATTTGACAGGTGATGATTTCTGCACAATGAATTGGCAGTTTTGTTGCTGGTTCCCACAGACAGGTGGCCATATACTTATATAGTAAGAGTATAAGAATGTGCCGCGTGCTGGATTCTAGAGGATGTCTCTGGAAGTCAGGTGTCAACCACATCACCAAAGGTTGTCCTGCGACACCGGTTTGAGGACCTCTCCTGCAGTGGTTTGTGTCACAGTGCTTGGTCACTAAATATGTAGGTGGAATGCAAACACAATGGAAAGGAGGCTGCTCGTCTGACCCGTCCCCAAAAGAGGGATTTCTTTGAAGCTAATGTGGCAGGAAAGAAGGAATTTTCCTACAAGCTGACAGCTGGGTAACCTTGGCCTAGACTGTGTGAGACAACCTCTGCTATGCTCCAGGACTTGACAGGGCTATGGTAAACTGAGACAATTTTTAGCATTGTTTGTCTAGCATAGGGACTATGCTGAACTGGAATATTGGCATTGTTCCATTTTAAGAATGAGCCAGGAATATTTTAATTTCCATGAAGCCAACCATTCCCAGGGGAAACCCAGTCTTCAAAGCAGTCATCCACATAAAGGACCGTGCTTCTAAGCAGGGAATATTTTTCCTATAATTGTATTTTGTGCAATGCGTCTGCATCAGAGATCTGTGATGACAAGAAGCACATTAGCTGGATGACATGCAACTTCCATGAGGGACTTCTCTCATGAGTGTCTTCTAAACTAAGTCAATGAATGAGACTTGATTGAAAACCAAATGAACATTTGTGGATGCTACCTGGGCATGACAGTTACTGATAAGTTTCAGTGTATAATAGTCAAGACCTTAATAACGTATATTAATTTTTAAATAACTAAAAATGCATGAACCTATAATGTGAAACTGTCTATAACTCCTCCACTGGAAAGCATCTGGAATCTGATGCAAAGCTCTTCTGGAAAAGGTGTTGCAAACACCTCTCCTTCAGCCAACTGTGCCCTGCCTCAGGCAGAAACGAACAATCAAAAATAAGTCTTCTTGCCAACATGCAATGGCTTTGTTCAGCTCCTGCCATAACTAATGGGAAGGAAAAAGAAGCTTCCTGTAGAGTTCATGAAACTTACCTTTCATAGGAATTTGTACAATAAAGACAATCATGGGTGGAACCAAAGCCCAACATCGCTACCTCAGTATCTCAACCAGCTGGCAAAGCTTCCTGGGCTCTGACCTTGGGCTTATGTATCGTTCTGGCAGAAAATAAACCACTTAGCATTGCTTTTTAGTGATCCCTCACTTTTTCCTTGCCAATGGAACCTGTGAAGGAACTTTATACATCAGAGGTTTGGATCAAACTTCTCATCCATTATTTTTGGTCCCTGGTGGTGACCGACTACTGGCACTTTAGAGGAAAGTTAGGAAACAAGATAGAATGTGTCAACTGTGCGATGTAATTAAAAGCAAAATTCCCTCTGTAACATAAGCAGCAGTGAGCCTACGCAGTGTGACATTTAAAACTGACTGGCAGTCACTGAAACTTTAAAAAAAACCCCTAGGATTTCATTAACTCAGGAAGTTCATGCATATCTTTCCCGGATGCTGTATGAACAATTACAGCCTTCCTGTTGTTGGACAAAGCCTTTTTCAGATCACAACTCTGTCCACAAGAGAAGAGAATGGAAATTCCTTTAAAGAGCTGAAAAATCTCAGCAGAAGGGGCTGTAGGAGGCATTGTAGGCTCTGGAGGGGACCTGGCAGTGGAAAAACTGTTCAATCTCTGCAGAAAACCCCAAATTAGGGAAGAGATGGAATATATACATAGAATCATGCTTGTATCTTTTAAAAGCAATGAGTTCATAAAAGTGATAATTGACCTAGTTTCTTATACATACATTTCAAAGCTGGTCAAGAGGAGCTAAAATTGATTATCATTGGCTCTCTTAGAGTATAATTTCCATCATTTCAGTTGAAATAAAGTGTTTTATCAACTTTTTTCATGCTTTGGCTGATGCAGAATAGAAATAGAACATTTTCATCTTGGAACACTGTACAGACATGAGGTTACAAAAAAAGATGGCTATGAGGCCCCTCTCTCCTACTCTCTAGGTCACAAGAGCAGCTTTGTTTCGTGGAGTCCTTTTCCCAGAGTTTTCTTAAGCTCACTATTAGAGATAGCCAGCGTTGAGGTTTTCATCATCTACCTGGAGCGGATGGAGAGATTGTTCTTCAGTCTGAGGTGAGCCCTCAAACACTGGCCTGCAGCACAATGTACAGACGACCAACCTACCCCTACTGTTCTGGGGGGCAGAAGCAACCTCACTGTGATAAGCAAACACACAAAGGTCACCTACACCATAGAGCCCTAAGACTTGCAGAAGAAAACTCCAAGTTAGGAAACTTTTTATTTCTGTCACTGATTAAACCTATCTTACATTGATGCATTTTCCTTGACATTTGAATTAATGAGCCAAATGCCTCTAGTGAATTCAAGATGAGCCTGTGACATCTAAAACTGTTCCTATGGCAGCTGCATGATGATACAGATTGGAGGCTATGACTTCACTGCAGAATCATACAGCGGGACAGATTGTTCGAAGTAAGTTATTTAGATATAATGAGTGTTAACAGTATGGCTATGAAGGAAATAGCTGCTTCACATACATGAGATCTATATGTGCCTAGGCAAAGGAATGATCCTAAAATTTCACGACTTTGTCAAAGTAAATCCTTCTTTTGACATAAAAAAAATGCACACATCTCTTTCACTTACTCAGGGTTTTTTTCCGTGGATTCCACAAGGCACCATGCTCTGACCTCACAGGTTTTAGCAGTTGCGTTATAAATCACACATCTTCCTGTTTGAATTCCTGTGGAGAAACAAGCTCTTACTCAGCAAAGTTTAGAGTTTTTCGGCAGTTAGAGACAGTTTCAACGTGTCAGTGGATTCCTCCTCAAATGTAAGATAGGGAGCTTGACATTTCAGATTGCTGCGGCTTTCTATAGGAGGAAGCTGTAGGAAGAACTACCCAAACCGTGGTCCTGCCACACCTCATCAATCCTTATTTAGCCATTCGTTTGGGTCAACAGTGCTTCTCATTGTTTAGGCTGAGGGTGAAGTAATTTCCTTCACAGTTTTACATGGAGTTACATATCTGAGTCTTGGGATAAATTGAGAAACCAACTGTTCCGGTCAGAAGTTTAATTCAACAACATGAGCAAATTAAACAAGGATATAAAGGTGGGCAGAAAACTGCAATTCTTTCTGCACTCCTGGAAAGTCAGCATTTTCTGTGAGCATTTAGTCTTTACCATAGAAAGTGATAATCCAGCCAGCAGCCCAAATTCAGGGAATCTCAGCACTACAAAGAACTCACACAGCTGAAGAAAACAGTATGATGCCTTCTGGGCAACTGGTCCCAAATAAAGGACACAAATTCCTTGACTTATTCTGAGAACCACCTAACCATCATAGGGGTGTTAGAGACCCTTCAAACAGATCCTGCAGTCACTCCACTTGCTAAGTGGCCACGGACATCAATGGGAGTGACTGTGAGATCAGCCCTCATTCACACTGGTCTGTACTCTTCTTCACATCTCCCCTTCCTCTGCCCCTTCTCACTGTTTCCCCTTTTAGTAAGGGCACACACAATCTGATAAGGACCCAGTTTTAATATGTTCTCAGGTGTCTCTTAGGATTCCGTACTGTTCTACTGCAGTTCTCCAAGTTGGATCTTGCACATGCTGCACTAGTCAATAATTCAATAGAAGACAGTAATCACAAAAAAATATTTCAATCTGAAAATGCCGTTTACGTACCATAACTGTGGATATCTACATTCCCTTTTTCACAAGATTTGTCTGAAGAGCAGATGGCTTTGGTGAAAGGATACTGCAAAAAAAATTACATAAAAGAGCAATATAACTTATCTCTGTCTCCACACCTATGTAAAAAGTCTTACTCAACTTCAACATAAAAAATATAAAATAATAAGAGAAAATAACAATGCAGAGCAGGTATTACCCTGTCCTGGTTTCGACTAAGACAGAGTTAGTTTTTCTTTTTAGCAGCTAGAAGAGCTCTGTGTTTTGGATTTAGTATGAGATTTGTTACGAGAAGAATGTTGATAGAGCCCCAATGTTTATAGTTGGTACTGAGACAGCAAGGACCTTTCAGCTTCCCATGTTTTTGCTGGTGAGCAGGAGCACAACAGGCTGGGGGGGAGCATAGCCAGGACTAAGGGTCCGCAACTCCCCTGAATTCAGGATTGAGGGCCAAATGGGCCAACAGAATATTCCCTATCACGCAATGACATGCCCAGTATATAGATGAGGGTTGACTGGGAAGTTTGGGATTCTCTTCTGAGGGCTCTCTTGATCTCTCGGAATTCTCTCTTCCTCTCTCTTTTTGGGCCTCTCACTCAGAGGAGATTGCAGTGTTGGGACTTATCTGTTTCAAAATCATTTGCTGGGATGGAACAGGTGTTGGTCACAGAGTGGCGAGCAATTATACTACATATCATTTTTTTGTATATATTATTTTCTAGATGTATACTCATATATTCTTATTATTTTATCACTTTTAATTTTATATTATTATTATTAAATTGTTCTTATCTCAACTCCTGGGTCTCCTTCCCTTTTCCCCTTTAATTCTCTTCCTCATTCCCTGGGTAAGCGAGCAGCTGCCTGGCGTTAAGCTGCTGGCTGGGTTAAACTGCAACAAACCCTTATGAATTATTTGGCTTATAAGAGATAAAGGCTCAGCAACCTGCAAAAACAGAAAAAAGCCCTTTCCTTGCTTACAATAACGTTTTCCTTTATTATTTATGTCTTTTCCCATTTGTCACACTCTATCCTATGCTATTAAGCACAATAAATATAATACTGGACTATTTAATTCTTTCTTTACTAAGAGTCCCATATATTTTTACCCGTGAAAATCAGCTTGTATTTGGGAACTACTCTGCAAGGTCCCACTTCTAGGCCAGCCAAATGAAGGAGAAAGCTGCAGCCGATGGCCAGGTTTGACCTACAGAAAGGAAGGAAGGGAACACTTAGGGATGAGCAACAGTAACAGTAAGAGCACCATATTAGCAGAGAAGCTGATAGCAATTCTGTAGCTCCATCATTCTTTCAGGTTTTCCCCAAGAGCAGCAGCAATGCCAGAGAAGCTGGACAGCAATCACTGGCCTGAGTGTCATCACCTCCTGAAAGTGATAGAGATAGGTTTGGCTGCAAGGTCACTGGTGCGAGGCAAAGTCACAGCCGCCAGCTGATCCTCTGAGAAAGAAAAGGAGCAATTAAACTAGATCTTGCATGTTATCTGCTGAGATACAGACATAAAGAGCAACAGTATTTCCTTGAACCGGACTGCTCCAAGGACAGTCCACTCTTTTACATCAACATGCTTTCGATACATCCCAAGTATAAATCACAAAACACGTCAGGTACCTGCATCGGCTGGCCCAATGTCTGCCTTGGTTTTGCTTTCGCAACTTTTGGCTTTGTCAGAAATGAATTGGTATGTAGAAGAAGAGAATTTCTATTTTCCCATCCTAAATGATAAAGAAAACATGAGGTGACATCCTGGCCCCTCAGATGCCATTTGTGAAACATCAATTAACTGCAATGGGGCTTGATGTCCTCCAAAAGCTTTCACCCATGCTGCGTTGCTGTGTACCTAGACTTTGACTTTTTCTGTCACAAATGCTAGTGTCCTCTCTGTTTGTTGTTTTTTAAGAGAGCTTAAAATACTTAGTCCTTAACTTTCCAGAGTGACTATTTTTGTGCCTCATGCTGATTGTTCCAAAAGCCTTGGCCTAATGTTTTCACTTGGTCATGAATTGAGTATGTTAATAAAAGGAGGAAGGACGCCTCTGTTTTTAAGCTGACAGGAAAGTCATCTAGCTCATCTAAATCATAAAAGCACCGTTGACTTTGAAAAACTATTGTATGCTCAGAAGATGCTTTCCACACTACATAAAAGCGATATAAAAAGTTTGCTTTAAAAAACAAGCCAGAAGAGCTAGCACCATTTCAGTTTAACAACAGACTGTTCTGGGTGGGATAAAATAGTATCTGAAGATCAGAAATACAAAGCAACTGATCAATGTTCCTTTATTTATATCGTCGGTTGTAATAGCATTTCAGCCTTTTCCTTCTGGAGAACAGTGCTTTGGGATAACCATGTTGTTGGAAACTGGCAGTGGGAACCCAGCTCTGAGCAGCAGTAGGTGGGTATAGTACCTTAGCAAGGCAACTTGAATTTCCTGCAGACTTGATTCTTTGTGAGATTGGGATCAGTATGCTCAATGTCCTGGCTTGCTGCCCTCCCATGAGAATGAAACCAACTTTATGAACTTCGGCGGACTTTGTTCGGCAAACACTTATCACCGAGCACAGCCCTGGTTTGGCAGCAAAAAGGAAAATCTGCCCTTTAGAGGCAATCCATTATCGCATATTCCTAAAACATCTTATTGTTCTTGAAATCTGCTGCAAGGGGTGACCCGCCATTTCATCTGGTCCTGAACAGGAGACTCTGCGGAGCAGACTCTAATCTCAGAAACACTGGTGTAAACCTGAGATTATTCAGTGGATTTATTTTGGATTTTTCAGACAAGAAACAAAGACAGCATGGCAAGAAACAAAACCGCAAGTGTTTTTTAGAGGAAGCTTAGTTAACTCTGTCCAAGCAACTCCACCTTTTAGGTAACATCCTATGCCACACTCCCACCACAAAGTTCTCACGTCCATCTTCCAAGAACGGTCTAACACCAGATCAATTATCTTGTTTGCTGCCACAAAACTCAAAGCACTGAAAGCCAAGTTGTAACCAGACAAGCCCCAATACAAGAAACATTTTCTCTCATACAATACAACATCCCATCACCCTGTACTTACCAAAGAGGCAGAGCTACAGTTATATAAAGCTGCTTGGTGCTTTCTTCCACCCCTGCATCCTTCTTGGGCCACCCCACTTAAAGGCACCATCAGAAACCTGTATGAGAATGGTACCACAGGCCTTTTAAAGAACAGCTGTTGATGGAATCCAGAACCACCGGAAGAGCCATGTCCTTTGGTTTGTTCACAGAAAAAGCACCAACTTTCACCCTAGATCTCCAGAGCTCACTGCTCAGCAGTGTTCTTGGTCACCTTCTGTTGATGGCACTTTCTCTCCTCAGTACTACCAGACTTTGCCAGTCTGAAGTAACAGAAGGACAATTGTAGAGATAACTCTAAACAGATGGAAGCTGTTGTCATGCTGACATCCTTCTGGGCCTGACTCTTCACCACCCAACACTTCACATCAGCACAAAGAAGATGTAATACACTTCTGGACCAGGCAGACCTATGCAACACCCACTTTGCAGAGGTGGCAATGGCCATGCCAGACACGGGGAAATAGTAAAGCAAGCTTTTGTGTCATCAATGGCCACAGAGATCTCCAGCTTCTTATCTCACAGTGCATGGGACACCAACCTATTTAGTCTTAGATTGGTTTTGTATCAGGTCATGAGGTTAACAGGGAGTGACAAAGTCACTGCTCCTCTCAGCAGAGCCAATACTTGACACATGCTTTGGCTGCAGCCGCTCCTACTCCACAGAACCATGCACAAGCCAGTGCTGGTCAGTGTGCTGCAAGCCAACTATTTACTGGTCTGGGAGGTCAAGGAACAGGTGTGAGGTCACCATCTGACACTAAACACAGGAGGTGGAGCTGTAAAGTTGTGGACCTGTCAAGGTGGGACCTGTAAACCTCAGGCTCAGAGTCTGAAAGACAAGAAGTTTGGATTGGAATCCTTAGACCCAAATTAAAAGCACCAGGGTCTCTCTCTTGCAACAGAAGACCCACACAGAGGCACAAAATATACGAATCCTACAACACAGATCTAATGTTTTTCTTCCAATCCTTTAGTATTTTAAATCACCCAGGATGCTACCTATAGCTGTATTCATGAGAAAACATTTAGAACCAGGCAGGCTTCTTGGCTGTTGGTATTGTCCTAAATGCTTTAGCACACAGGAACAAGTTACATTCTGCAAAAACAGGGTTAATTTTTCGAGACATCAGTGATTACTCCTTAGGCTTTTGCTGACCACAGTCCCTACTGTTATGGTTGTTACTAGTGACACTTCAGCAAGCAAAATCCTGCCACATAACAACATTAGAACAACTGAAAAAGCTTCAAGTGGGAACCAGAAACAGACCTGGGATGCATTTAGGTGCTAGAATAGCCACGAAGAAATTGCTTTTTAATATAACACAGTCAGACCTATGTGTACCCACACAAAACACAGTATTTATATTAAAAGAGACAAACAGGATGGCTCAGATTGCAAAAGTGAAGGAGAAGTGTTGTCTTCTCTTCCTAAATGCTCTTGTTTTCACATTAACATCTTCCATCTGTTTGGGATCCGACCTCGGCAGCTCAGCCGGACGTATTCATCTTCTTGCCCACGATGTTCCCATATAAGGTGCTCTCTCTTCACCCGTAGAGCACGATTTGGATTTGCTCAGGTTTTGTTCCCCTCTGATTTGCTGGCCTCTACGGCCGAGCTCTCTGTTTTGCAAGGCACTCATCCACACAGCAGTAGCTATAAAGGGAGGAGAAAGTCAGGGGGGAGTAATGAAGCCGTGCCTGCAGATCTAACGAGCTCTGGATAGTTTATTTGTAGGCTCCATTATCTTTCTTCTGCACGTTGCCTCTGCATGATGCCTTTTCAATAAGCAGCTCCCATAAGCCTTTCCCAAGCAATATAAAACGTAAGCCCTATCCAGAGAACTGGATGGAACTACAAGGCTGAACTGTTACAATAACACTCAGGTCATCAGGAAACTTTGCTTGAAACCCTGTATCACTCTCCCGGCAAACTAACTTGGGAATTTAG